TGGAGCCAACAGGAAGCTGTATCACCCCCCAACCCTGATGGAGAGAGAGCAGACCCGGCTGGGGCTGCTGGAGTGCAGCCCCTATGCCCGTGCCGGCCTCCCTGGGGAGTGTGGGATGAACAGTGGGATCCAGACTGTGTCCTACCCACACCTCAGGTACCCACAGCCAGGGCACGGGCGCAAGCGGGCCAAGATCAACGGCCGGGAGCGCAAGGCCATGCGGGTGCTGCCGGTCGTTGTCGGTGAGTGGCTGTCAGGGATGGCTGGGGAGGGTGGGAAATGTGCCACCTTGTCACACCACAGCACTCAGACTGGCAGGACCTGGGCGAATGCAGAGCAGTGCCAAAAACCACCACCCTTGAGAAAGGACACGTGCAGTGTTTATAACCTAACCTCCCTCCAAGGCAAACCTGTGACTCCCAATACCTTACATGCAAAGCCAAAGCGAGACTAACTTAAGACTTTGCATCAATGTTTAGGACAGGAAAAACATCCCAATTTTTTGTCTGGACATAAGCCCAGCTTCACATGGCAGCACAATTGCTGCCTTTTCCCTGAGTGCCCAAGCTGTGTCTTTTTTGGCTCAGGCTTTGTTAAATTAAACTCTTTTGAACATTCACATCACCTTCTCTCTTTTTTTCCTCCTGGCAGGTGCTTTCCTCTTCTGCTGGACACCTTTTTTTGTGGTGCACATTACCAGGGCTCTCTGCAAGTCCTGCTCCATCCCCCCTCAAGTCACCAGCACTGTCACTTGGCTGGGCTACGTCAACAGTGCTCTCAACCCCATCATTTACACCGTGTTCAACGCTGAGTTCAGGAACTTCTTCCGCAAAGTCTTGCACCTCTTCTGCTGAGCCCTCCGCGCAGGAGGAACCACTGGGTCATTTTTTGTATAGTTCATTAAAGATCTATTTCTGCCTCTGGTCTGCTGTCTTTGTTGGGGGATGAGGGGAGGATGAGGAGAGCTGGCAGCTGAAGGAAGGGACTCCCAGGTCCTTGTAGTAAGGTGTTACAGGTGAGGGCCAGTGGATGCAGCTTGAATCCTCCTCCCAGTGGTTAAGTGCTAAATGTAGCCACTTCTTTAACACTTGCTGCTTGATGTAAGCAGGGATAATAACAGTTATTTCTAATCTTCTGGCTTCTGGGGTGATATTAACAGGGCTGTGAGGTGATGTGGACATGAGTCTGGAGGCAAAAAAGGCTGTTAAGCTCATTTCCCAGATGTCCATATGCCAGACAGGGATACCAAGCTCATTTCCAGATGTCCATATGCCAGGTGAGGGTGAATCTACCTATGCAATCTTCTTTCCCCTTATCCTTTTAAACCCAAAAACTGATTTCACTCACGTGTAACAAGGGTCTTACAAAGACACTATAATGTTATTGCTAGTGCTCCAGAATTTCCTGTGAAGCCACACGATTCCTGCCAGGAAACATTTCCAGCCTCAGGAAAAAATCCTTCATACATTTATGTGAACCTGCATGCAGCAACAGCCACAGCAGCCAGTGGGACAGGTGATGCTCGTCACTGAGGCTTGGAGAGGAGAAAAAGAGTATTTCAGAACATTACAGTCTTCCAAGCAATGATTTTGTACAGGATTGTTGCTTTCCAGGAGGGAATTTGCTTGGAAGCAGAACGGAAAGGGAATGTCTGGAGTGTTGCTTAGACTAAAAATAGCAAGCACTCAATATCTCATCAGCAAACAGACTCAGTTCTCACAACTGTATTGTGCATTTCTGAGCTGTCACATGCTGGGTTGGGGCACAGCTGCCCCAGGTACCAGGGCACTGTGGGCTTTCCAGAGGTGCTCCTTCAGAGCTGTTTTTGCTGCATTCAAATGCAGGACACAAGAAATCCTGTAAATGAGCTGCGTTACTGTGGGCTCAATTAAGACTGTCTTCTCAATTAACTAATTGTCTCTAAGTTCTAGACAACGGGCAATCAGCATTTAACTGTGAGCAGAAACCATTCCCAACACTCACCTATTACTTTAGAATACAGGAGTGAGCATTTTGCTGTGGGAATGGAAGGAGTTGCCTGTTCTTTCCTTCCCAGGAGTATCACAGATAATTTCTGTCCCCATCCTGCCTGAGTTCCTGCTTGGCTTTCGTTGGAAGCACGGTTCCTTCTGGAAGAGCTGCACGCTGTGGCCACCGGCTCCTCACCCTCGATGGCACTGCAGTACTGCCCCCTGGGCCTGCTCAGCTCTGTGATAGGAGGAATAACTTGCCCAGGAAACAGCTGGGAAGTAACACTCACCACCTGCCACTGACTGTGGGAGCCCTGTCACCTCCCTCCATTGGACAGTGAGGACCGATGCCCCTCAGGAGCTGGTGCCACTGGCAAACCCACCAAGGGCACTTCTGAGAGACCCCACTGAGAGATGGAAAACCAGCTCCTACTGCCTTGGAACACATGGAATACAACATAACAAACCTTTAAAATGCAAAGTGGAAGGAATAGATTTGTCAGAAACCTCTAGTCTTTTCCCTGGAGTTCACCTTTGAGTCTTTTCCATGGCATTTTTCTCTCTTTTTAAGTTTCCTGTAAGTCAGGATAGAATTTTCTGTTTGACAGCGTGTGTTATGTTGGGCTGGGTCACTCTGTGGTTCAGCTGACCCCGTCTGGAGCAAGAGCTGAACAGCCATCCTCATTCACCACCACCAAACTGGATCAAACAAGAGCCAGGAAAAGTGAACCCTTACAGGGGCTGTGACCCCTCAACCAGAGCAAACAATAGTGACCCTTCCTGGGTCACTAACAGCCCCCTAACAGGGGCTATGCCTGGAGCTAAGAATAAACCCAACCAAACAACCAGAGGCTGGTGCACCTGTCAAGACTCCTCTGAAATCTCCAATCACAAACAAAGGTTTAACTTAATTAACAAATAAAGGATTTAATTAACTATTAAAATAGTAGATTAATAATTAAAATTATTTTGTTGCAGTGAACAAAGCAAGTAACTCCCTAACGGTCAGCACATCTCTAATTAGCAGCTCCTACAGGGCAGAGACAGGAAGACAGGACAGCCCCATATCCACCTGTGCTCACCTTGGGCTTGATCCCATCTGATTCTGGCCAGCTGGATGCTATGAGTGATATTCCAGGCACGCTGTGGAATGAAGCTGTGCTTCCCTGTGGAGAAAACATCTCCCAGGTAGACAGGGAGTACAGACACACATGCAACTGTTGGTGCACTCACCTGAGCAGTTACCTGTACTGCAAAGTGCTGCCCAGGGAATGAAGGGGAACCACTGGGCACACTTGTGCTTTCAGCATATTTTATTTAGCAACATGTTATTTTTCAACTATGTTTAAGTGCAGAAGTCCAATGTGTTCCAGATTTGCCCAGCACAGAGGGAACACAGGAAACCCTTTCAATGTCAAACTAAGAACTTGTACCAACTTTGTCAAGGCAATTAAATAAACCAACCAAAGACTTGTTTCTCTTCTGTAAGGAGAGGTAGGGAGGTCCCAGTAGGAGGAAGCACTGGCAGATCTCCTCACAGCATCTGCTTCAGATCCATCTCAAGAGAGATGAGGAGACTGCTGTAATCCACATGGTGGAAGATCCAGTCAGGCAAAGGCAAAGCCTCCCAAAGCCAGTTGGGGCTGGGACGGAAAGGAGAGGGTTCCAGGTGAGGTTTTCACAGTCTCTGTATTATCCAAAGCTTTGAAAGGGGATTGGGAATAGACAAGTGCTGTCACAGTATCAAAAAAATCTATGAAAAATGAGTCTGCTAGTGAGAAGAGTGCTGTTGGCACAGGACAGACCGTTCCCGCCGGTCGCCGATCCAGCCGGCCCCGCGTATCCATGAATGGCTGCGGAGGAAGAGCACTCACACGGTGACCTTCTCCATGACATTGTCCGGGACATGCACCTCATCTCCTTGCACCGTCACCGTGGCTGACTGGCCACAGATGTGCTGGTGGTCCTTCCAGTCCTGCCAGGGGAGAACAGAGGGAAGGGCTGTGAGCAGAACAAGCCCTTGAAGAAGGGCACTTTCTGTGAGAGAAGCACTCTCTCTCCACAAAGCAGACCGATGATGGAGGACAAAGGAGCCACGCACTGGATCAATGTAAGAGGTGGAATTGGACTAAGCAGAATGCTGCCATCTCCACACAAATCACAATCTGGGATATCAGTGTCAGTCAGATCGAAAATTTACTAAAACTGAGTCAGAACCTTGACTTAAAGCCTCTCCAGAAAGGCAGCTCTCAACACTGAGTGCTCCCAAGGGACAGTGCTGTGCAGGGATCTTAGCTCAGCTAGGACAGGAACAGAATCCTTCTGGAACTGACTGAATTCAGGACAGCTGACTCAGCCTGAACCTGGCCGCTCAGCAAAGCTGTAACTGGCTAAACTGAACCATCCTTCTCTCCAAGCAAAGGCCAAGGGTCACTGTAAGGAACTGGTCTGAAACATGACACACAGCAGCTTCCTCCACTGTACTTCACACCTCTTCCCACCTCCTAAGTTCACAATTGTAGAGTCTGTCCCACTGTATCACCTGCAGCATCACAAATAATGGAAAGGAGAACTATGTCCTCAGTGCCACAGCAGGAGCAGCAGGGAAGGAAGGAAGCAGCAGGAAGGGGATGTAAAAGTCCTCCCAGCTCCCCACAGTGCCCAGTGAGGTGTCCATGCTTCATTTCTAGTGTTACTTGTATTTTCTGGGTCACCTTTGGGAAGGTGTGTGCAAACCTGGGGATCTTCTCTACCCTTTTAACCCTGTCGTGACTTGCAGACCGTCCCCATCACTACAGCCTTGGTGATCCCACTGGCAGGGTGGGTTTGGAGTGCTTAAGCCACACAAGGCTCTGCTCTGACTGCCTGGCTCTGCTGTCCATTCCTCCCTCCATACTGACACCCATCAGGTGACAGCTCAAGCAGCCTGGCTGTCCCCAGGGTCACACAGCCCTCACACTGCCCTCTCTTGGGAACTGAATCCCAAGTCACAAGCAGGCTGATACCTTTCGCTGGCAGAATGTGGAGCAGTAGTTGACTTTGTGGCATCCTGTGCACTCATTGGTGGCCTCCCGTCCGCAGTTGGCACAGGATTGCTGTGAGAAGGGATGGAGAGGGACAAGTCACACAGAGACAAACCAGGGGCATCACTGAGGTGCAACAGCAGTGCTGTGATGGCTGGAATGCCAGAGCAGTGGGAAAGCTTCCACTTCCCAAAATACCCTCAGCAACAACCCACAACAAACAGGCCCAGTGGCCTCTGGATACACCCTCAGAGACCCACTCTCCTTGCTCTTTTAGCAGGGAACTTTGGAAATGAAATGCACCTCTGTTTTTCTTTCTGTTTGGCAGAAAGCCCTCCAAAACTGTGTGGACACTGAATGGTCATGGAAATCCATCCCCACCACCCCAGGGAAACCTCCCTCCAGACAGGCGTGGTATCCATCAGTCGGGTAACTACAGGAGTTGAGTGTATCCCACCCAGACATGTCAGGCTGTGCACAGGCTGTTAAAACACAAGCTCTGAGGTTATCCCAAATTTAAAGGTTTAAAGGCAGATTTCATTGGTGGTTTTGTTTGGTTTATAATCCTGTGTATGTCTAAGAGAAGGGAAGGACAACAGACTAAGAATACAGATGGGACCTAGTTTTAGAGAGGAAAAAGGCATCTGCTCCTATGGGATACGTTCCTTGGTCCTTTCCAGTCATGACTACATAAGGAGTGTACCAAGAGGGAAACAGGAGTCAAATTAAGAAGGCTCTAACAGAAGCCAGGATTTAAATCCAGAAGCAAGGCGAGATAGGATACACAGGTGAAAAATCACACCTGCTTTTTAAGTGATGTTTTTGTGTCTGTCGCTTTAATCTTATTTTAGCGACATAATTAACGTAACCTGTATGTTTAGGTGGAAACATCATTGAACTGCCACCAAAAGAAGCACTTCACAGAGCATTCCACTTCCAGCTCATTAAATGCCTGACAAATCATTAGCACATCAGGCAGCACTGACAGGAAGTGTTGCTGGGCTGTGAAAGTATTGCGGGCTCATCAGTTCCTCCAGGCTTCTTCTCTCTTTGAGCAAAACCACCCCAAAAATCAGTGCTCTGATTAACACCCCCTCTCACACCTTTCCATGTACCTGCAGTGAACAGCTGGTGAGACTGAACTGTGTTTGTGCTCCTGATGTGCAGCTGTGGATTTGGGACACCAAAAATGGCTTAAAGCTGTGATTTGGGACTTGCAAAGCCTGCCCTGAAGGGACACTTGACTGGGGCTGTTTGTAACCTGTACAGCTATTGGAAAATGTGGAAAATACACAGGGCATGGTTGTACCTGCAGATATGAAAGAGAACTGAGCAACACAGCTCTAAGGGCTTCAGTCATGGGTCCAGAACTAACTCCCATTCCAAAAGCCAGAGGAAATTGTGGAGTTATGAAAATCAGCTCACAGGACAGAAAGGAAATAAATTCTCTTGCTGTCACAGCTCTGTGACAGCCATTCACCAGAGCTGCAGCACCACCATTCTGAGGTGAGGGAGACTGAGGAACCTGGCCAGGTGAAGGAGCATAGAAAACTGGAATGCTTGGGAAAGGAGAGACACTGCTTGGAGCACTGGCCCTACTAGGAAGGGCTCAGATCCTTTGGCAGAAGGCCAGACACAGAGCACAGGATTCCACAGCAATGACAAAAAGGCTCTTCACAACATGACACATCCCCAGTCTACCTTGATGATGATTTCTGTCTTCCCATCCACATCCTCTGTTTGTTGGAATAACTGGCTCTGGTATTGCTGCAAGAAAAACATACCAGACATGTAATCTCCCAACTGGAGCAAAACGTGAGGGGTTGGAAAGGGTGCTGGGATGGAGGGTCCCCATGCTGAGCTGTGTCTGCCCAGCCCCACACTGCAGTTGCAAGAGGACAGGGTGACCCCTCACTGCTCACTTCTAGGAGAAGGACACTGTCACCTGAGGCGGACACAGGGCAAGGAGCCTGTGAGAAAACGGCCTGAGGTGACAAACTGCCAGCTCAGTGCAGCACTTCCACCAAACCCAGCTCCCTATTCCATCCAGCCACACACTTGTCCTTAAAATGGGGGGTTTAACTGCAACCCCCCACACATGGGAACTGGGAAATAAGCACAGGAAACACAAGGAAAACGCCAAGGTAACAGGGCCAAGAGGCACATTCCAGAGCCCAATTTTGGGTCAAGTCCAGTGATCCTCATTCACAAAGAGACAAAGGTGTCTGGAGGGAAGGTACAGCCCACCAAAAAGGATTAGGGGGAAAAAAAAGCCAAACAAAATTAACACACCTTAGACTTTAGGAGCAGCACTAACCATAATCATTACTCCTCCTTGAAACAGAAGAGTGAGAGGGCTGTAGAACAAGTTGTGTCTCCATCAGTCCTCTGGAGGTGATCAGAGTCCACTTTGGCTGCCTGGCAGAATCATTTCACACCAACTCAAGCCCAACCAGGTGCTGCTGTACCTGTTGCAGTAGCAACGTGCTCAGCAATGGGGGACAGAAGTCCCAAACTAATGGCATCCAAACCCAATCCCGAATTAATTATATGCTAACCCTGGCTTAAATGTATTTGGAACAATTAAAAAGTCAAAAAAAAAGCTGAACCCATTCCTCCAGGCCAAGCAGGTTCATCCAGGAGTTGACTCAACACATAAGGAGATTAAAGGCTTAATTTACAAGTGTATGACCTGAGAGCAGAGTATTTATTCTCCTGTGAAACCACAACCTTGATATTCAAAACCTTGATATTACTGTGACAGAAATTAAGTTAAAAAACTCCAGGCAGATGGAGGCAGAGGCAGAGAAACCTCTTGCTGTGTCCTGCCAGGGGTGTGATTTGGTTTTGCCATACTTGACAAGGCAATTCCAGCCATGTACAAACCATGGAGAAGGAAAAGGTGTGATAAGAGAGAGGAACAAGCCAGACACATTCAGATCTCTCACAGAAACAGCTCCACAAAACCCAGAATCTCCAATTCCCAAGAGTATCACTGCTAGTTCGGAATACACAAGCCACTGTTTGCTGACCAGAGACATATTTCTTAACTGTCCAACCCTTTTTAGATTAATTTCACACTCTCCAGCCATGAATTGGTTTGATCTTTCTAAAAAAGCATTCAGATGCCTCAGCTCTTTGCTGATTTAATTTTCCACCTTGCTTTCAAACAGGCAGGGCTCCAGAAGCATCTCTGCTTTACAGAGGGCTATTCCAATTAAAACATTTGTGGGATTTTGACACTCATTCTCTTCAACTTATACACAAAATACAGTTAATGCATTTCCTGAATCTCTTTATTATTCCCCAACAATTCTGGCACAGAATTTAGTGAGTATGTGTAATGTCCCCATCCTAAAGTTTATCTGATATAAACAATGGATTAATACACACTCAGAAAAATTACATTGCCCAAGCCCACCAACACATCAGTCCTGCCTTTAATCTCTTAATTTTGGGCCTGATCTGCAAATGTCAAATATCTATTGCAAGAGACACCGAGCCTTTGCTACCCCACTCAACCTAAATTCCTAAATGTCTTTCCTTACCGAAAAATGCAGTAAAGACAACATGGAGATATTAACCAGGGGATCAGATACTCATCCACAACCTAATTACTAATGATACTTGAGAATTGTTTCTTAACAGCCACATGAAATTCAAGCAGAGCAGTTGTATTTAACAAATCCCACACAAAATGCTGCAATGCAGAAAAATCTTATAAATCTCTTCATTTTTTTTCCATTTTTTGCAATATCATGATGCATTTTGGAAGTTCACATAAACATGGAGCTTGAGGGCTCATGGTTTGCTTTTCTTTTGGGATATCATTCCCCAGGACTTCTAAGCAACACAAATGCAACCCTACTCAGAGGATCCTAACACTTTGCAAACTTGCACATGAGCTCTCTGAGAAGGAAGTGTTATTTTCATCTGAGGCACAGTGAGGCCAAGGACTTACCCAGGGGCATCAAAATCCCTTGTGGGAAAGATGGAAACAAAATTTGAAGCAGATCCTCAGTCTTGAAATTTGCCCAACAAACCGTGACCCTTGAACAAATTTACAGAAATTAAGAAGTACAAAGAGAGCAACTGAGTGCTTGTCAGAACTGCCAAAATACTAAATTATACTAAAACCTCCCTGCTGGTGAAGCCTTTATCTCCAGCACTTGGAACAGCTCCTTCAGAAGGGATAAGGATGTCCCCAGCCCCTGACACAGGGCTGAGATGGTACAATGAGGGAGGCAGAGTGCAAACCCCTCACTTCAGAGCTGTGTGAGTCCCACAAGCACTGACACTGCCTAGCACAGAGCACAGCTCCTGCTGTTTAAAGCTAAGGCAACCTAACTGCTGCTCTGTGGGAGCAGGACAGCTCATTTGTGCTATTTAATTACTCCAAAGCTCATTAAATAATAAATATAATACCAAAACACACTATAGTGGGTGATGTGTAACATACGAGGCACCTAAGTTTGTGTATCCAGTTGGGAACCAGCCTGCTTCTATCAGATCTCTACAATACTGCCCTGTACTAAGTCACTCTTCCAGGAAGAGCTGAGTCTGCAGCTCTGTTATCATCTCATCTGTGGCCCATCCTTGCTCTGCAGCTCCAACACAATGACACTGCCAGGAAAGGCTCCCCCTGACTGCTCACTCTTGGAAGTTCTATCAGTGGAACAAACTAAGTGGTAATTATGCACCAATTTCCTTTGTATTAAAATGGTCCAGAAAAAAATCCCTTCCTGAAGGGCACGATGGCCTCTCTGTTTGCCTCTCATATACATTGACTGCCCAAAAAGCCATGGGACCACACACATACTTGGAGTGGGAAAGAGCCTCACATTACAAACCACTAGGAAATAGGGAAAGGCCCTTTGACCAACACAAAAGGAGAGAGACAATTCTTTGACCTTTAGTGTAATTGCTTCCCTGTATCCAGGAACACAGAGTTTTGTCCAAATATGGAGTTCACAAGCAGGAATTAATTCAGAGATAGCTACTTGTGATACTGCCTGGATGGTTCCAGCAGCCAGCACAGCTTAGAATTGTCTGGATGATAAAAAAATACCACCATGACTATATGGTTTCACCACAGTGCACAAGTGTGGAGGTCCCCATTACACACTGAGAATGGTGAGACACAAGTGGTATAACTGGGCATGCAGCAGTTCCTGGGAAAGGGGCTTTCTCTGGATATCATGTGCTTACCCTTCCCATGTCCAGTCAGCTTTAATCCATACACAGGAGGGATTCTAACTCCCATTCCCAGGACAAGTAACTAGAAGAACATCAAAGAGAGCTGGTTTGGGGTCAGAGGGTGTGGAGAAGGGATTGAACAAACATTCCAGAAACCACTGTGAGGATAAACAGAAGGGAAGATGCACATAGACTGGAAAAAAAAAGCAGAGTGAAGCTAAACAAAAGCAGATGTTTATCTCTGAACTGTGCCAAAGCTTCCAATATTTCAGTGTCTCACACTCTGTGCCACTTTCCAGCAGTAGCCAGCCCACACCTGGGCAGCAGCACTGGCACCTGTTCTGCAGGAGGGAGGCAGGGAAGGATTAGACTCCCAACATATCACACACCTGCACATCAAAGATGCATCATACAGGAGAGTTTAGCAGAGCCAACACGGCAAAGAATATCAAAGAGGCTGCAAGGACTGTCCTAGGGGTCCTCAGCTTCCAGCAAAGTCTTCCCACACCTCTCTTCCAGGCCTGTCGCTGCACACTCATGCCTATGGATTCAGTGGAAAGCTGATGTTAGCACAATGCTGATGGCACCCGCAGGAAAGTGGTGTTTGGGAAGGGAGTTCAGCAGCTACTGATGGTGACACCAGTTCCAACACTGCCCCCCACCTCTCTCCCCACTTCACATGAGGTGCAGATCACTGGGAAAGGGACAGCACCTTCAGTATGAAGCTATACTTGGGTGTATGCATGAGCTGGTGGTCAGAAGGATCCAAGATCCCTACTGTGCATCAGTTACAGAGAAGAGCAGGGAGAAGAGGGCAGTCCTTGTGGATAATCCCTGTCCACCACAGAGAGAAAATGGGAATCAGTCAGGGCTCCTGTGAGGCCAGGCAGCCTGCCAGTCCTACCACAGGACTTGTGTGAGTCAGCTTTGCTTGCACAGTTCTCAGCAAAACACCTCTAGACTTTACTGCTTATCTTCTCAAGAGGGATCAATCTCATTTTTATTTATGGTTCGACCTATGTTACACATGAGGTGAAGAATTTCTGCAAGGGCTGTCTGTACATGTACTGGCAACCCTGTTCCTTCGAGGGCTTTGCCAGGCAGCCAATCAGGGCAGCAAAAACCTCCACGATCAAGCTGTCAGCGACCCGCCCCACTTGCCCACTTGGGGCAAAGGCCCGGATGCCCACGAAGAATGCCTGGGAAATCGGGCTGTGGAAGGAGCCTTAGCACATAAAAGCAGCTAACTGCGACAAAATGGCGAGCCATTTTGCTTTGGGTTTCTTGGAGGCATCAGGGGCTCGTTCGGAGGCTCACCTTGGCCCTTCTTCCACCCCACCCCTCACCTTTTCCTCCCTGTGGTCCTGGTTCCCTGCCCCTACGTGCTTGGCCCTGCTTCACTGCTTTCGCGAACCAGCTCATTGCCGCGACGACCTTGTGCTCGCTGCCTCCCCGGCGCAGCGGGCGCCGCCGCAGCCAGCCGCCTCCACCGCGTTTCCCAGGCGCAGCTGCAGCCGCCCGCACCCAGCCGCGACCGCCGCCGCTGCGTTCGCGCTGCCCGCCCCACCAAGCCGCCACAGCACCAGCCCGTAGCCACCAGCCCGTTGTCGCCGCCTGCACGCAGACAAGCCCGCAGCTGCCGCCCGCAGCCACCCCGAGCCCGCAGCCGCCGCCGTGTGAAGATTGCGCCCAAGCGCTCACAAAAGCCGCGGGGGCTCGCCGCGCCTTGCAACACTCCACTCCGCCTCCTGAGCTAGCGCTGACAGAGCACCGGTGTTCTTGTGGTAACGCTGTCCCTGTCTTCTTTCTCTGTCTGTCTTTTCTCCTCTCTGCTCTCTTTTCTATCCCACTTCAGTAGGACGCTTACCCCTCTTTATATTCAGATATAATATTGCCGCGTTTGTGTTTTATTTTCATCTGAGAAATCTTATCAAAAAGAATCCTCCCTGACTCCCTCTTTTACCTTGGGACAGAACACTTCACCATAAACTCTGGGATGAGCTATTCCACATATCCTATTGAAAGCCCAGCTCACCTGACAGCAGCCACTGCACTGCTGAACACTCACCAGCTTCCTCAGACCAGGACTCAGTGCCCACATCCCATAAATTTATGGTCAGCTGATGGGAGAGCTCAGGATCGTGACACCAATCTGCACAACCAGCCTGCTGCCCACAGCTCCTGGAATCCCAGAGAACTTTATTCCTTTCCCCAGCATACAAATAACTTGGGAAGATCTCTCTTGCTAACATTGCTTTCAAGGCTTGGAGAAACAAGTTCCAGTATCACTGCTCCAGCCAGAAACTACTCTGCTCACCACTGAGCCCCAAAGGTGCCCGTGGCTGAGCCCCTGTGGCACGGTTACCTCTTTCCTCTCCACATCGGCCTGGATCTTGGCCTGTGTGACAGCAGCCTCGCGGAAGGAGGAGCTGGCCTGCTTGGCCTGCTCAATCAGAGTCTTCAGCTGCTGTGCTGTGCTGAGCAGGGAATTGACCATCTCCTCCAGGTAGAGCCAGCTCCGCTGCTCCGTCACCTCCAGCCCGTTCACCACCGACGGCGACATGGCTTTGGTGGGCGTCGTGGGGGGCACTGCCAGGGCAGGCAGAGAGGTCAACACTGGACATAAGGAACAAAAGAGAATATACAGACAGAGTGACAGAGTGTTTCATTTCCTTAAAGTGGAAATGTGGTGTTTTGGTTTTAGAGATTTTTCTGTGCTGTTTGGTTTCTTTTTTAAAATATGGTTTGCAGAATCTCCAGTCCAGGAAAGTTTTTGTAAACAGATCATTCCTTCTGCAACATCAAGTGCAGATCTGTGCAGAACAAGCCCATGGGCACTCTCAAACCCACAGGACAAGAACACCTCCTCTTGACCTGGATGACTCTGGGAAGAGTTTAACACCTCCCAGCACTGCTGCGGAGAAGCACCACGATGCAGAGAAAGCAGCATTCCCAGGAACTCCTCCACCACTGCCAACAATACTTCCCTCAGCCATGGCTAGGTAAGGTTAGAGTAGTCACTCAGTGACCCAACACTTTACAGAAACATCCTGATGATCCTACCCAGATGTCAGTTCTCAGGTTGCAAACCACAAAACTCAAGTACTGATCCACATCACACTCTCTGTGCTTCTTGAATTCTGGCCTTTACATAACCCTGGCCAGACACTGGACTTAACCCCAGTTAGTCACCATTACCTCCAAGTGAGTGTATTCCAAACATGGACTTCCTAAAACCATGGGTTGGGAAGCCTTTAATAACCCAGCAGTTACTGTGTCACTGAACCAGCTACTTTTCACATTAGGTTTGTGTGTACCCTGGGAGATCAGGGTAGGATGAAATTAAATCCAGACCCAGGAACTCCACCATACACAGTGTAAGCTCAGCTTAGGTAACATTCCAGGAAGAAATGTTACCTGGCTTTACTTTTCCAAAATGTAATTCTAGCAATAAATATTCACCATCTGCCATAAAATTCAGTCCAAGACATTCACATCTACCAACACTGACCACGACATTCCTCACTGAATTCTTTACTGGTACAAAGATGGTACCGCCAGCCTCAGGGTTGTGCAGACTTCTTACCTCAAAATACCCTTAATTAAAACAGCAATTTTAATGAATTTACACACAAGTGGCGCGGAACTATTTGCACTTAGATATGAGTAGGAGATAAACCAGTCTTTTTTATCAATGTCTGTTTGCATAAGAGCCTTTCCCACTCTCCATTTCCAGCACAATATTTATCCCTGCATGCATTTGATAACGTATCAAACAGGAATTACTTCCGATTCCTCATTTTGGCACAAGTACATCAGGCAAGAGAAAGTATTCACTGGTGAAAAAACAATCAATGTTTAATTAGTAACATCAAGATCTGACTAAGTCTTAAACACAAGAAGATCTGACTTTGGAGACTAGGAACATTCTGTGCCGTTCCAACTAAATAAATAAGGGTCATACAGAGAGGACTGAAAACTGACACCAAACCTGGCCAAAAGTATCCCCAGCATGCATCACTGGAGTAATAAAGCCATGTGAGGATGTCTAGAAAAGCTTCTGTGGCATGATTTTAATTGAGTTTGTTCTCCTCAGATCGAACACTAAATAATTGTTCAGCCACAGTGCCCAAAGAGGACAAGAGTCTGCAAGCAAGAACTTTAGGAAAGGCAGGGAATGCAAGACAGCTCATGATGAAGAATCACAGCAGCCACCTCTGGCAGAATCAATAAATCAAAGCACTCAATAAAGAATGAAAAACCTTCCAGAAAAGGGAAACCTGCTTGTTGAAATCTTAGTATCTGTAAAACTCACAAGCAAAATAGAGCAAAGTTTAATTTTCTGCCCTAATCTTTACCTTTGTTGAGAGAGATGGGAGGAAACTGAAGCACAGTGAAAGCAAACGTACCGATTTTGGGATGAGACGTTGGCAGTGCAGCCTCAGGGAAAGGTGAGATCTGGCAGTTGTCCTGGTAACTGGGATAGTGAGGCTCTGGATGAGACACCCGGCAAGGCTGCTGGACGTTGGTGTCCTGAACTGCAGGAGAACAAGGGCCTTGGGAATCACTAACACACCTGGCAGGTGTTTATCTTACACTGCATTCACCCCTATGTTTTTATGTTTTACACAAGTTCCTACACTCTGTGGTAATTCCCAAGGGCTGAAAATGTGAAACAGCAGCAGGATCTCACACAGTCAGCAAGCAAGGAATCCTGGTTCTGGCTCCACCATGCTCTGCTTTCACCTTTAGAGCCACAGGTTCCTTGGTTCCATCCCACACACTGAAATATCCATGATCATCACAGGGCTCCAAACTCTGGTTCTTGGAGCGAGATCATTCCCCTAGGAGAGCTCACAACCCAAAGCACGGTTCAAACTGAGAGAACTGAAATGTATGTCATGCATTTATATTTTGTTTGACTTATCCTGGCACTTTTCACTCCATTTCAACCCTCGCCTAGTTTGCAGGTTTTTTGGTACTATTTTAGGCTAAATGAGGAGTAAAAAAAAAAATTACAGACATGAACATAAATCCCAGGAACTCAGCAGAGGTGAACATTAGCAGCTGCCACACCTGGACAAAGTTTCTCCTTTGGTGCAACTGCTAAGATTTCAAACTGCTGAAATTATTTCACAGGAAGGACGGCGCCTTATGCAGTGCCTCCTTCAATAAATAAATCCTTTGAGTTGCATTCAAGATGTTCCTTCCTACAGCAGTGGGCATCCAAACCTCTTTTCCTCCTCCCCACGGCTGTCTAGGAGACACCTGAGCTCTTACCAGTGGCTCCAGTGAAAACATCCCCCTGTGCTGGGCTCTCTGAGATGATGGCCGTGGCCTCCACGGTGGACGCGCGGTCGAAGGTCAGCGCCCCGGAGGTTGTGATCTGTCCAGAGGGAGTCACGGTGACTGGAAACATTAAAGCACTTTCATAATTAACACTCAGCGCAGAGGACATGCCTGCCCAGATGTTTGTTGCTATCCCTGTGCTGCACCATCCAAGCTCAGGGGACTCACAGATCACCAGGCTGGGATAACCCAGTTTGGATCACACCTGTGACCAGCGCAGTTGGAAATGGGAATAAAAGCCCCAATAGGTTTCTGAAGGCTCTGCTGTCCTTCCAAGGCTCTGGGGGCACGAGGCTAAAACGTTAATTTACAACCTAATACCTCCCAAATCACCACCTTTTCAGTTATTTTATGAACCATAACTTAACACTTCCCATAAAGATTCAGTGAGGCCACATAGCCCATCAATTTCTGGCTGCTTTATGACAATTTTAGCATGAGTGATTGTTGTTACTTAAATCAACTTAACAACTTGTGGATTACAGCTAATTCCATGACAGGTGGGCAAATTTAGCTGTTTATCTACACAAAGTGATAGCATGTGCTCAGCCAATGCAAGGAACAAGGCACAAAATCCTACTGGATAATTATACCTGAGTGGCTTCCGAATGTTTGTTTAAAACCCACTTTAAAGACGATTATTTAACTGGTACCATTAATTGGTGATGGTCTGATTCTGTGGCACACAATAATTAAATTTTTAAATACTGTAGCTACAAATTCCTGGCTGAAGTACTTGGCCACCAAAACAAGAAGTTCTCTCTTCCAGTGCCAGCATGAGAGAATGAGCAGCCTCACGGCACCTCACATAACAAACCAATACAGATTAAACCTATTTCAGAACTGAAAAAAAACAAAGCCATAAAACAACTCTGCAGAATCCTTGTGTGTTTCTCTTCCTACTGTTGCTGATGATCTAATCTTACTTTTTGGTTCTTTTTTCAGATTTCTGTTGCTTCCTCCTCGACTCACTTTGTATTGTTACCTGCAGATGATGCCAGCGTGCAGAGAGCAGGAGGACATATGGATGTGACTGGGGATGTGTGAGCTGGATCAGCTTGCAAATTAATTCCTGTTCCCACACAGATAATTTGCCAATCAAACCAGTAACTAACAAAGCTGAATGTTGGAGAGGGACGTGCAGATCAAAGCATCACCTTCTGCCTCCTTCATTAACGACTTTTAGGCTTGGGGTTTCATCCCAGCTGCTTCCAGGCTATTTTGCAAGGAATAGCACAAATCTTACTCCAGTTTTTAAGGGACACAAAGAAGCTCAGCGGATGGAATGGGGATTTCTGGCAGAGCAGAGAAGGGCCAACCTCTCCCAAAACCTAATTCCAACAGGAACTTTCTCAGCTGTTATTTGTGAAAAATCTACCTGAAATCCGCTATGGATCCAGGCCAGGATCCCATAATTCTCTCCCCACTGAGAGCAGGTACAGCGGGCAATATAATCATAGACTATAACCACAGAATCCTGAAATGCTTGGGGGCTTGGAAGGGACCTTAAGGTCATCTCCTTCCATCATCCTACCATGGGCAGAGGCACCTTCTAGTAAACCAGGCTGCTCCAAGCCCCGTCCAACCTGGCCTTGAACACTTCCACGCATAGGACATAATCCAAACCTCTCTCAGCACAAAATATGAAACCTAGTGTTCATGGCATAAGAATGTCATGATGCTTAAACCTGAGTCTCCTGGAGGTCTAGAGCTGCACTTTTTCCTATTCAACTTGTGTTCGTATGTGGCAACACTGTGCTACTTCCTATAAAATAGGAAGTGACACTGAGACAGTAAAATCAGCCAATGAAAAGAATGTGACCCAAAAATAGGACATTTTTTCTCAGTTGGACAGTTCCAAGGGGCCACTAACACACATAAAACACCTAGCAGGTCAACTCTTCAAGGAAAGGAAGCAATTTTTACCAGGAGAAAAGAACCTACACGTAGTTGCAGCAGTGGCTGGAAGCAGAGTGATGTTTTTGGAACAATTCTTTTTCACTGGAGTTGCTGGTATTTCATTTTCTTTTTTTCGCCTTTTATATGGCACAAAGAGTCGTATAGGGCCACTCTGGGTAGAAAAACACCAGAAGGAAAATGAAAAGAAAAAAGGAAAAAAAAAAAAAAAAAGCATTAGCTGAGTCTCTTTGGAGACTTTGGTTTGACTCTCATCTTTCCAGAAACAGCAGCACAGACCCCCATGGATGATGTGTGGTTTGCAACAGTAGACCAAAGCACTTAAAAGTTTTCCAAACAAAAAGAACTTTGAAAAAAAGAGAAAAGTTAAACTCAGCTCCCTCCAGCTGAAAATTGGCACAAATTCAACATCTTCCCATTATTATTTAAGGAGTAGAACTGGGCAGATAATCAGCTGCTGGCCAAGGTGGTGGAATAAAAGAGAAAAAGAGGGAGGAGAAGAGAGGAAGAAGTTCCAGGCTAGAAAACAAGCATATCAGTCAGTTCATAGCAGAAAAGAAAGGCAAAGCACCAGGTCAAGCTAAAGTCTTCTGCTTCAGACTTAAACCTCATTTTTGAAACAAACTAGCAAAAAATCAAACACCCAATCAACTAACAAAAAAACCCCAAATAGTTTAAAAATTAAATATTAATCTATCATAAGATTATTTTGTTACTTCTTTACAAAAATATTCTTCCAACTCAAAACATTGTGAAATTTGAGTCAAGTTCATGAATAACACTGACATCCCCAAAAGGTATTTTGCATAGATATAGTAATTAGAAAATTATTTTTTAAAAAGAGGAAAAAAACCACTAAGTATGATCTAGTTTTACTGAGGCTGTTCTGCAATAATGCCAGCAGTTCCTCGTCTCCTTTCTCCACAGGGCAGGGAAAAAGCACTTGTCCCTGAACACTCATGTGTCAGGACACTCAATTCCCAGTACACTCATGACCTGCTCACTCAAGGGCTGTGACAGCTTGACCGGTTAATTTGTCCAACAGAAATAATTAGTTCCTAAAGTAATGGATGTAAAGCCTCCCACTCACCAGTGTCATGTCGTCACAGCAAGCGGCACAAGTACACGAGGCAGCATGGGGATTTAAAATCCCATCCTGGAATCAGAAGTGACCAGTTCAGCATGAGAGTCACCAAAATCACCCAGAGCACACCTTGATCCTGCTAAAAAATGTGGATGGCTCCCAGAGTGGTACCCATTCCCTCCTGGATGCTGTACAGTAACAGAGAGGCCAGTTCCCCACAGCAGGGCAATGGGGTGAGAGGGTCAGAGGAGAGAAAAGGAAAACCAAGTATTTTCCACACCCAAAGGCCAGGATATATGAATTTGAGACTTGATTTCTGCACAAACAGAAATCAACTGTCAGCCTAGTGGCAATGCCAAGTTCTCCACGAGACTCAAATAAAGGACCCAAATAATGAATGTGGTGAAAATTACGGACGTGTGGCAGGCAAAGACATTGAAGGAGATCAGGCTACTGAATTACAGTACCACAGGTGAGAGCTCAATTCCTGTGGCACAGCTCAAGGCTGGGCTTCACCCTGCAGAAACTCTTTCCAGTATAAACAAGATCCCCAGTGTGCTATTTGAGACATATCAAAAACAATTCCCCTGCATCACTGACCCTCAACCAAACCAAGCACTGCTCCTGGTGCCATCAGCACCTGGCTCCAGCTGCCCCTTCCTGCAGAAAGGAGGGAGCAAACTTAACCTTACGTGGATAAGGCACTGCAGGGGCCGCCCGGCGTAGCGGATGCTCCTCTTCCAGTCCTTGCTGCTGGCTCGCCCCGCCATGGCTTCGAACTCCGTGGGGCTGTACCAATTGTCCCCTTGCTTAATGCACCTGCCACGGCCTCCTGAAGTAAAGCAACAAAATACACTGTTAGTCCAAGTTAAGGATAATTTTGTCACTTCTCTAAAGAAGAAAACATGGAAATTGCTGGACAAAATAGCAGTTAATCTGTAAGAACCACTAAATATGCCCATTGCTCTCAAGTAACTGTGTCCATTTATTATCATGGCTGTGACAATGGGCATGTTCAGAGCTCCAACTCTGGGTCTCAAAAGGCTACAAAAATTACTCCTCCGCAAGAAAGAAAAGTCTTTATTGGACAAACACCACAAATTTTAAGTCTTTCCTTGATTTGCACTTAAATTTCTGATCTTTTTTGAGTTTGTGGTGGGTTTAGAAGAAAACTTTCTGTCCACAAAGCAAGCACTGCACTGGGCAGCCAGGCTGGCCGGCAATTTTTGCTGCAGCTTCCCCACAGGGATAAAAGACAAGAGGAAGAGCTCAGGAGCCCCAAGAAGAGAAAAAACTATTTGCATTCCAGCAGCGATTCTTCAGAGTTTTGCAAAAACACAAGTCTACTCATGAGACAAAAAAATCATTAAAGGAGTCAGCCTGTTACTGAGGAGACTCACTGCATGGCAGCCTGGATATTCGCAGAATTAAGAAAAAGTTAAGAAGCCTCCGAAGAAAAAGCAAAACAAAAGGGAACAGTAAAATTAAAAGGCACTGGGCTGTCTTGGAAACTCTTGTTTTTTTTCTCCTGTCACGATCAGCCCTTAAGAACAGCATGATTAAAAGAAGAGTAGAGAAGGAGGAGAAGGAGCTGTGCCAGCCCTCAGCCCGGGTGGCAGTTACCTGAGCCCAGCCTGTTCTTGTACAGAATGCCACTGATATTCCGGCACCGCACCGGGAGCTCGTTCTCGTACACAGATGGGTCCCAGTTGTACTTGGTTCCACTTTTCCCCTGGACAGCTGTCAAAGGGGTAGGAGGAGACTGTGGTCCTTGGAGAAAAGAAAGGTGTCAGCAACCAAAAGGCAGAGTGGTGTTCCATCCCATGCTCGGCTGGGTGATATGCCAAGAGGTTGACTGGAGCAGCTGGAATGCCCCCACAATGAAGCAGCACAAAAAACTCAGCCTGAATGAACTGAGAAGGGCTGATAAGAAAAGAGGACCTGAGGGAACAGGTTCTAACAGGGAATAAACACTGAGATTGTGACCTGATCCTTACACCACCTGTAAGCTATGGTGTAAGGAGCTGGCTGGAGATTCCCCTTCCCAGAGCCCATCCTGTGGGAAGCTGTAGAGCACTGAAGGTTTGCTGTGCCATCTCGTGGGCACCAAGGAAACTGCCAGGCAGCCCTGAACAAAACCTCAGTGACAGAGACACTAAAGTAGCAGCCTGAATGGACATGAAAATGTGTTCCAGGAGTCCTGGAAAGAACATGTGCAGAACTGGGAGACTCGGATTTTTATTAACCATGTTAAAATTATCTGTGTGCCCTTGGGGGTGGGATGGGTCTAGAAAGCCTGGTAACAGGGCAAGATTTTTCAAGCAGCTTCTTTGCCAGGGTTAGGGCAAAGAATGAGAAACTTAAACCAAAATTTGACAGGAAAAAACGTAAAAAATAATAAGCATTCTTTCATTCCCAAGAAATAGACAAAATATTGGGAGGACTTGGTATCTTAAAGGTCGTTTCCAACCAGAAAACGTTTTAAAAGAGGGCAAACCATCCTAATAAAATTATGCACATATTTTTAGATTCCAGAAAGACAAATAGAGTGGAGAAGAAGCCATCCCTCTGGGAGAGTGACCCACCACAAGCAGACTGTCTAATACCTGGTGTGAGAGGTGCCGAAGGCCCCTTGATCCCGGTGGTTTCGACGATGCTGCCATCCGTGTGCACCACTATCAGAGTGGCTTTCTCAGGGTTCAAGCTGTCCCCAATTTGGAGGGCTGTTCTCCCAGACTGCAGAAGAAATAAAGAGTTTAAATTTATTAAAGTACTTCAACACAAATAGATTTCAGTAATACACAGGCACCCCAAAACTCCAATCAGTATGGCAGCTATTAGGTTAATTTTTGAGTTTTCAGACAAGCAAATTCAAAGATTTCATGTTCCAGGCCACCAGTTTCTGTTTCCAGATGAGTATGTGGGGGTGGAAAGGTAAAAAAGCTAGTAATAAAACCCCCAGCTAATGGGTTTGTGGCTTAATGCCAGGATATCACAATGAAAACACATCTTTGACCTTACTACAGATTTAATTTACACTGAGAAACTTTGTCAAGGCCCTCAAATGAAAGGACAGACTTACCAACACATGTCCTGAAATTGAGGCTGCATTGGCCACAGATGTGGTGAAAACATTGTCTGCAGAGGCCCCCACGTTGGCTACTGTCACTGTGGTGACTTCTGGAATGTAAAACAGGGATAATTTAATTTTCTGCTGCATGCAGAGAGCCTGATGAACAGCTGAAAATTTTCTTCTTCCTTCCTGCTCTAAATTAGTATTATTTTTCATGGCACCTGTAAGTTGTTATGAACACAATAATTCTGATTTCTATTAATCTTTGGGTTCAACAGGCTTTAACCTCCTGAAACCAGGGCAGCTGCTATTATCATGTGATGAACTAAGGGAAAAATAAGTATGGCGCCTGCACTAGGGGTACTCCAAACTGTGGTGCTTTTATTTAAATAGAGGTGATTGGCAGACATCAGGATAAACTGAACAACAGACTCTGCCTCTGTCATGTATTAATTCCCATGGTGCCATGACCTGTGCACTGCGTCCAGTTAAGAGCTGCCCAAATGTACAACCCAGCGTTTCTGTGTTCAGCGCTTAGCCTGGCTCAAATCTCCGGGTTTCCACGTGGGATGAGGGCGAAAGAACAACAGCCGCTGGGGCCGAGACACTGGGGCGGGCGAGGGGCTCTGGCCTCTGAGCACCGCAGCTCGGCTGCACGACCCTGCTGCGTGACTCGGGCGCTCGGCTCTGCGGGCACGGGGCCGCGGCTCAGGCGCACCGGGCGCCTCCCGCTCTTTACTGAGCGTGAAGGGGCGGAGTGTGGGATTCGCTGAGGGGGTGGCAGCGCGCCCTGAGGGAGCTCGCTGTCCCAGCCCGAGCCCCGGGGGCTGTGTGGGGGCCGAGGCCCGGGCTGGGGGAGCCCCGGGCGGGCTGAGGGAGCGCTGCCCGCCCTGACCTGCGAAGGCAGCGGCGGCGGCGGCCTCGTCGGCGCTTGGCATTGGCGGTGCTCCCATCTCGATGTGCTCGGCGCCTGCCGCCATCACCGTTACCGCCTCCTCCTCCTCCTCGGGCTCCGCCTCCCCCTCCGCTGCCTGCGGCGGCTCCCGCTGCTGCCCCGGTCCCGCGGGCAAGTCGAGCTGTCTGGCGGCCGGCTCGCCGTCGCTGTGCTCCATGCGCGGGGCCGGGGGTAGCCGAGCCCGCCCCGCCCCCCCCCGGGCGCGCCTGAGGGGGGGTCCTGCGGGCAGGGGGGACCGGCGAGCCGAGCGCCGCCGAGCTTGCCCGACCGCTGACGAGCGTGTTCGGGGCCTTTCGACCGAGTTCCGATGAGGCCCGAAGCGGCCCGAGCCGCTCGGGCCCCGTGCGAAGGCGGCCGGCGCGCGCGCTCCCTGCCGGCTGGCCAATGGGGCGCGGCCGAGTCCGCGGGGCGCGGCCCGAAGCGGTACCTGACGGATCGGGTGAGACCCGAGCCCGCCCGAACGCGGCCGAGTCCCCGAGCGCTGCGGCCCGGCGAGGCGAAGAGTCCCGAGCGCGCTCGAGCCGTGTCCGATCTCAGCCGAAGGCGGTAGCGAGGAGCGCCGATGTGTGCCGAGTCGTCTCCGATCGCGCCCGAGCTCCGCTCGCCGGCCCGAACGGAGACGCCCGAACGGGCAGCGCCCGAATCCGCCCGAAAGCGACCGAACCGGGCCGAACGCTCCGATCGCGCCCGAAGGCGGGTGGGCGGGGCGAGTGGCCGCGCGCGGGCTGCCGGGACGGCGGAGAACCGGCGGGCGGGGCGGGGGCGTCAAGATGGCGGTACCGAGCCGAGGTGAGCGGTGTCGCGATAGCAACACGGCGGCGGCACGACAGCCCTTTCCGGGGCACCGGGGCGGCTGTCTCCCACCGTGCCAGCGGTGACCTCTCGCGGGGGGACACGACTAGTGCGAGGCGAGGCGGGGCCGAGGTGGAGCGCAGCCCCGTTGGCATATCGCGACAATCGCGACACGCGGAGGAGATGCCGCTGGCGCCGTGAGCAGGGCCTTGGCGCATGTGCGGGCTGAGGAGCACTTTGGGCCCAGGAAAGACGCTTTCCTGAGGCCGAGAGACGCCTCGTGAAAATCCAGATCTTTGCTTCAGTTTAGGAACTGCTGGGATTCAGAGGGGAAAAATTTCATCCTTAGTGTGGTTAAAATCACTAATTTTCAACTCTTTCACAGAGGCCAAAGTTTTCTTCCAAAACGGTAAATTTCTGCCCTGGCTAGGCAGACGAAGGTGGCTGAGAAAATTTTTGTCGAATTTTGTCGAATTCGAACAGAAAAAAATCCTAATCCCAAACGTGTGCAGTGAGGTGCTCTGGGCGATGCTAACCACATTTGCTGCATTTAATAAAGTTTTATGTTAAAAAATTAAACCATTTTGTTAGAAAATGGGGCATGTTCCACCTCACATCCCCATTCTCAGTGTCACTCACTCTAAAATCAGCACCAGCCTGGGTAGATAACCAAGATTTTGTTGGGTAAAGCACTGAAATGATATATTCAGGCGGTTTAATAATCCCTCTTGGTGTGCTCTGGGGTTCCAGGGCTGTCCCTGTGAAATGTCCCGCTCGCTCTGAGGGAGGCAGCACATCCTCAGGAACTGTGGCTGCCGTCCCGGCCTGGAGCAGCTGCAGGAGGCTCACTGCCCTCTCCTAGGAGAGCATTAAGGAAAGAAGAGTCCAGATGTAAAGTTGGGGAACTGCCCTGAGGGAATTCAGTCAGACATCCCTGTGGGAATTCCATGGCTCTGACTATCATACAATTCGGCATCAGTGGTGTAGCTGCAGTTTTGGATATTGAATGAACATGGAATCATGGAATGCTGGAATGGTTTGGGTTGGAAGAGACCTTGAAGCTCATCCACCCCCTGCCCTGGGCAGGGACTCCTTCCACTATCCCAGGCTGCTCCAAGCCTCATCCAGCCTACTCTGCCAGGGATGGGGCAGCCACAGCTTCCCTGGGCACCCTGCGCCAGGGCCTCAGCACCCTCACAGGGAAGGATTTCTTCCCAATATCAAAGCAATTCCCCCTTGTGCTGTCACTCCTAAGTGACAGGATGAGTGCTGGGAGCCCCCAGTCCCTGTACAGAGAGCTGAGAGGAGAGGATCAGGTCCAGGAGACATTTCAGATCAGGGACACATGAATCACCTAAAATCATGCGCCTATTCCCACTGTGTTCCCAAACTGGACACCTCAATTAGCTGCCTGGAGTTAGGAGGGAATTAATTTGGGCCTAAATGCATAAACTCTGAGGTGAAGAGGACGTTGAGCTCAGGAATCCAGGGATAAGATGGCGCTGTGACAATGACGAGCTGTCCCTGAGGAGACAGATGAAATGGCCTTTCACAGGTTTTACTCTCCCTGGAACAGAAATCCCGACTGTGCAATTCCTCGTGTGTCCCAGAGAGGCCAAGAATATTAATGAGGAACTCAACAGGTGCTTTAGTAGTTGGTGCCTCCATGTTGCAGGAGAATTTTATGTGATTTTTGCAGAAAACAATAAGGGAAAAAAATGAAATGTGTTGGTTGGATCATTGGAAATACTTGGCTTGATTTCTGTGGGCTGTCAGAACACACTGAGGTTGGATGTGGAATGACTTTGTGAAGGGAACTGGTTTGGAGGGATGGCATTTGGAGGGATGGTATTTAGAGAAACCCGGGAGCCCTGTGTTCTCCACAAACTTTCTCACAATTTACAACCAAATGGATCCCATATTCACCTCCTTCCTGCATAGTTAGAGGGGATGAAGTGTCATCTGCTAGGAAAGGACAGGATGAACAAGTTCTGGATAATGCCTGTGCACTCCTTCAGGCTTTGAAAGAGCCTGAAGTTCCTCATTGAAAGTGGCTTTTCCCAGTAGGGATTTTCCCCAAATTATTTGATGCTTCATCTAGTTGAAAAGGTTATTTTTGGAACCTGAAGTCCACTATCTGGAAAACAATAAATGTTCCTGGGAGATGAAAAAAGAAATTTCTCCCAGAATTTAGGTATCATTGTTAGAATGTTTCTGGATTTATACATATTTTCTTCTCTTTATTTTCTCCTTCTCCATGGAAAGGAAGAACATCAGAGATTGTATCCTTTCTGTACCACTGCTCCCTCCATGCAAGACTCCTGGAGAAGACTGCCTCAAGTGGATTCCTATCTTCTGTCCAGTAACTCTGCACAGTGCTGGGTCTGTGCTCCTGAATTTTCTGTCAGTGTCATCCACAGGAAGCACAACTGGGACCACGTTGCTTGCAGTGGAAGATGTTTGGTGCAGGTTTAGCTGGGATTTGCTCCTTATGGGCTCCTACTCCTGCAGAAACCCCTTTAGCCCCCCTGCAGTCATGATTTAACCCATTTTCTTAGGAAAGGAGATTAAAAATTGCATTTATGGACTGGTGGACACACCCCCTGCATCACAGCTCACAGACAGCTGACACAGCTGACAAGGGGTAGTAAAAGCAGCCCTCAGTAGTAACTTCCTCCTCTCTTACAGTAAGTTACCCCACCTTTACTCCTGCCAAGATCCAAGTAACCTCCAAGGAGGAGACACCCTTGGCTCTGGAGATTTCCATGCTTAGAACCTATCTAGTAATTTTTTGCTCCACCTTCCTTCAACTGGAAAAACCCCAAAACCTGGTTCTATGTTAATAAAATGAGCTGCTCTGGGAACTGGAATCCATCCATGGTGCGTGGGTGGGTTTAGAAGCGGGATGGGCAGTTCCTGTAAGAGATGCCTGGGATGAAATCTCTGCTTGGAGATATTTGTAGGATTTGAAAAAGGCTGGTGGAGAGAGGGGAGTGAATTAAGGCTGTTTCTTAGGAATTTGCATCTCAAAGCTGAGCTCAGACAGGTATGGAGTATAGAGCAAAGCATTTCCATGCTATGGGCAGGAGCAAGGCCTGGCTGCTGCACAGAGCCACCTCTTCTCCAAACACAAGTCTGATGGAGTTTGCCAACTCTGTCAACTTCCTTAATCCTGACTAAGAAGTGTAGAAGTAGTCTGGGGCAATGTACACATGCATCCCCCCCACTTCCTCAGGCTAACGGATGCCCCACTACAGTCCAAATAAAATTCCTTAAAAAGGGAACTAAAGCCAAACCTGAAACAGCAAGCTTTTATCCCAGGCCGTGATGTTCACAGCCTCAAGTTCCTTCCTGAACCCTCCCCACAGCCAGGCATAGCTGGACCATTCAGTATAAAGAGGGAGTGCAGTGTATTTTGGGGTTACTGGGAAATGGTGATTTTATGGAATAGATCCCACCTCATTGCTTTGAGAAATCCTTAACAACAGTTCTCAGCTGTCATCGCTTCCCTTACAGATCCTGCTCTATGTAAATGGGGTTTATTACATCTTCTACTTCTTGGCAACTCTTGCAATGATTATTTACAAAAGTAAGTTGCAGGTATTGTCCCCAGAGCAGGCTGTGCTTATGCACAGCTGGGTTTTGTCCTGCTGTGTCTTCCTGCTTTATTTACTCTGGTTTATTCTCCAGGTCAGGTTTTCAGTTATCCAGATGATTTTTTGGCTCCTGATCTTGCTGTGCTTTTCCTTATGGCCATTCTGGAAGTGCCTCGATTGTACTTGGGTAGGTCACGTTATCAGTGCAGCTGGAATGTAATCTGTAAACATGAATAATTTCTGTCAGTTGAGCAGATATTTGGAGACCCCTACACCTTTCCTTTCACTCCTGAGGACACCTGCAAGCACCAACACCTTCTTTTCACTAAGGCAGGAGGGCGGGAAGGACCTCCTGACCTTGTCCAGAGCTTGCTAAAACTTCTTCAAGTCCAATTTTTAAAAAACCCAAATCACTATTAAAATCTGCTCAATATTCCCAAGACATTTATGTGGAGTGGGGCCCTTGAATCAATCTGAGTGGCTTTGGGGTTGGATTTATTCCGCTGCTTTAAAGCTCTCTGTATTTGCTTGGAGCCTGATCCATGAGATCCATGAATAAAGAGGTGGATTTCAACTCTAATATAGTTTAACACCAAAATCTACTGAGCTGAGCTTGGAAATAAGCTGCAAGGAAGAGAGAAGGTGCCAGTCGTCTGAAACAGGAATAGATTAGAAGGGAATAAAACTTGAAAATGAGGATTGGACTCCAGGAGTGTGCCGAGGACACCGAGGTTGAGTGTGGGGCTGGGGGGCTCAGGAAGAGTTTGATGGTTGAAGCTGAGTGCTCAGAAGAATGCAACTTCAGAAGTGATTCTCTGTGATAAGAAGAGGTGCCCTGGCTGTGATTATCAACTGATGAACTTGCTTAGATTAACTTTGGTTAGTTTTCCTGTTTTGAAATGGATTGTCCATTGGTGTTGGGCTTGTTGTTTGATTGCTGGCAGAGCTTTGATTCAGGCTGGTATTTCAATCTATTTTGAGCTTTTTTAGGACTCAGTAAGAGCAAAATCAGAACCAGGGCATTTTTTAAGCAGGAATATTCTCGAGTTACAGCTTGAGCTGTTGTCAGAACAAATTGGACTTTTGGTTTCTGTTTCCTTTCAGGTTTCAAGGGTAACCTGACAGAAGCAGAGGCGCCGCTGGGGGTGAGCCTGGGGCTCACGGTGGGCAGCGTGCTGCTGTGTGTGTACCTGCTGCTGTGGCAGACCTACGTGCTGTGGGCAGATGTGCTCCTCAACGCCGTGCTGCTCTCGGCCTACGGGCTCGAGTCGGGGCTCAAGGTCACGGCCATCGCTGCCTTTGTCAGCTGAGCCCGGCCCTTCCCACACGCCTGCCACACATTTCTTCTCTGAGAGTGGGGCTTCATTTCCACTGCTGAATCCCTGTGTATATAAAAACCCTGTAAAGCTTCTCTCTGTTTAAATGAGAAGTTTTGGGGACGTAGATGTCCTGCCCAGGAGCTGTGTGATGCTGTCCACCATTGTGTTATTTATGGGCAAAGGCAAGGGATGAATCACAAAACACTTAACACTCTGGCATTCACCAGGGGTCAGTACTGAATATCCATTCCCAACACAGGATAGGAGGCAGTGCTGCTGGCATGGTGGCATTTTCATGGCACAGGAGCAACATGCAGCCCAAGTGACACAGAAATGAATCAGGCCAGGGCTCACTTGTGCCTTGCCACGCACACATCCGTGTTTGAGGGCACAGCTGCTCTGCTGCTCTCATTTGTGTTTCCAGACCTCAGTGGTAATTTCCCTGACTTTAGTAGGGCAGAACCTGATGTATCCCAGTGGGGGAGAGTGGAACTGGGTTTTGTGCATACCTGGAGAGCCAAGCCGCAAGGTTTGGCAGCCAGTTCTTACTACGTGAGGGGAAGTTTGGTCAGACAGGATGGCTTTAAAATGAACAAAACCATTCACCATTTGTTCTCCCTTCTGTCCTGTTTAAAAGTCCAACAGAATGTTGGCAGTTTTATTTCTATTCAGTGTTAAATGTGCTTATTTATACTATTTTGCAAAAATTACTATATTCAAGTCTGTCTTAACTTCTAACTGGTGCAAGTGCAGAATTTTTTACTGTCTCAAAAATATGTGTTAATGGAAAGCTTTGGGAGTTCCTGGTTTTTTGAAGAAGCCTATTTTCTATTCAGAATTTCATATTTTTGTATTTATTTATTCATTCAAATAAATAATGGTTTAGATCTAAGGAGTGTTTGAAATGCAGAGCATCTTGTTCAGATCTTGGGCTCCAGCTAAGTCATCCAAAGGAATACTTGGGCAAGCCTGGATGTGTGTGGAAGCCTCTTCTGATCCTGATCCTGCTGCTGTCTATAGCCCCTTCTCCTGCCCTGTGAAGGTCTGAACTAATTTGCAATCATCAGGGGCTGAAAATTGTAGGGTGCATGCCTGGGGCACCTCAGCCCTGATGGTTTTTGCTTTCTGGTGGAGGTAGAAAGGGACAAAATACACAGAAGTTCTGTGGAAGGGCCCAGTTTCATCCCTCAGTCGTTCAGTGGTTGAACTTGATCATCACAGAAAGCTTTTCCAACCTTAAGGATTCCAATACCTAAAGGGGGCTTACAAGAAGGAGAGGGACCTTTCACAAGGGCATGTAGTGACAAGACAAGGGGGAGTGGTGTCAAGCCAAAAGAGGATTGGTTTGGATGAGATACTAGCAAGAAATTTGTGACTCAGAGGGGCTGAGGCCCTGGCACAGGTTTGCCCAGAGAAGCTGTGGCTGCCCCTGGATCCCTGGAAGTGTCCAAGGCCAGATTGAATGGGACTTGCAGCAACATGGTCTAGTGGAAGGTGTCCCTGCCCTTGGCAGGGGGATAGAAGGAGATGAGGTTTTAAGTCCCATCCAACCCTAACCTTTCTGCTCCCAGGCCAGGTAACAGCAAGTTCTGTCCACATTACACCACCTGACAGTCACAATCAGAGTACCCACTGGCACAAATCCCCTTGGACAGGTCCTGCTAAGCCAGGGCACAGCTGTAGGTTCATCCTTGCTGCTCCCACAGAAACATCACAGCAGCAGAACTGGGGCTAAGGAGCACCCAGGAAATGGAACGACCAAATGTTTCTGTGCTTAATCTGCCTGAATGGAGCCCCCACCTATTTGTCCTCCCAGATTTGCTTGGCATGATGGAATGTGCCATCACATGCTTGTTCCAAGGAGTGACCAACATACCGAGCTGTCCCTGCCCCATTAACGATCAAAGGACACAAGCAAAACTCTTCCTGGATGGGCATCAAAAAAAGCACAAACTTTTCCTGGTGTTTGCACCTGCCTTACACGAAGGGCTGCCCACAGAACAACTGACAGGTTCTAAAGGGAATATTGCAAAGTGGAATTTTTACCTAAATGCAGGTGATACAGCAAACAGGGTCACACAGGTTAATGTTAAGTCACAACCCGTGTGCTTCACCTTCTTGAGTGATCACCACAAACAAAATAAACACAAAATATGAATTATAAAACATGGTGAACCCTTTGCGCCCTTCCCATCACCCAGGTGAAAAACAAGGATCAGCAGAGAGTGCCAGTACTTGGTGATAGTGAGGCATGGGGTAAATATGCACACAGGATAACAAACACGATTTTTTTGGCTCATTTCAGGGCAGGACCTGAAGGCTGCAACTGCTCAGAGCCATGGCTGGCTGTCAGAGCCTGCCGGGGTCAGCTGGCACCAACCTGGACTTGCATTCTCACAAGGGCAGGACAGCTCTGGTTTCAGTTTTCCAATTCCAGATAAAATTGTCCATGGACTCTTTCGTGAGGTCCTGCTGCTGCTGACAGCCCTGTGCTCCATGATGAAGGATGAAACCTGGAAGCTTCAGACAACTCCTTCATCCCAATTATTTCCAGGCTTTCAATGGGAATTGTCATTGTATTCGTGTCCCTGATTCCATGGTGGCACCTCTCGATGCTGAGGTGGTAAAAAGACTCAAAGTGAATCAGCTTCAGAGTTTCCCTAACCAGGAGCTCCTTTCCAAACCAATCCCACAGCTTGGAGAAGCAGGGCACACATAGTGAAGCCATTGATGACATTTGCCAGACATACAATCGCTGGAGCTTTTAATTACGAGGCCCAGCCCTTCTGAAACAGGACAAGCAAGTTGGAAGCAAACAGCATTAAAAATTTAGAGGAACACATATTTTGAGGAGCTGGGTTTGGGTGGTGTTTACTCGACAAGTCTTTGTTCTCGAGCCATCACAGGGGTGTCTGCCGCCAACCTGATTTAAAAGGCTGATCCCGAGAGGCAAGTCAACCTCCCAGGATTTCCAAATTGGAGATACTGGGAGATAGGGTGTTATGGGTCCATGACTTTATGATGTCCCTCTGGAGTGGCCTGGTGCTCCAGTGATGGAGGGAGGCTGGGGACATGCACTCAGTTGATTCCACACTGGGGAGCCATGCCAGGAACCACCACCATACCACAGGGTGATTCCCTCCTGCCAAACCATTCCATGATTCTCCAGTTGCCTCTGGCCCACCCCCACCGGCATCAGCTGTCAGGTGGGATGGCTGGGAAGGTGTAATAAGCTCTGCTGTGGTTTTCTTCCCTGCCCAGAGGAAAAGTTGCTGCCTCTGCAGAGCAGTTAAGAGATTTGCTGTGGGGCACAGCAGCTCACAGTAGCCCTGTCCTCATTGTGAATGTGGAGCTAGATAGGAACCAGTGCCTTAAAACACCATCCTGTCAACTCCCTGTTTGCATCCCAGGAAAGTCAGCCCAGCCCAGCAGTCCTCCTGAAACACCCCAGTGATGCATTTCAGGGAATAGGAATCTCCTGCACAAAACCTTCTGTCTGCTGAGGCTCACCAGGCTCCAGCACAGCTGACATTCCCACTGCATTTCTCTTGTGTTGGACTGATATCCCTTCTCCTGCCTGGTACGGCACGCATTCCCTAAATCCTGCCTTTCCTAGGGCTGGCCGTGTTTTCACAATCTATCCCTGGGATCCTGGCGAGGAGGATGACGAGGCACTGGGTGGGAGTGTCACACCGAGTATCGGTTCGTGTTCTCCCGCAGCAGGAGAGGTCGTGTCAAACCCGAGCTGCCGAAATGCCGGCTGTCAGGCAGGGAGCTGCTCTCCCCGTGCCCGCCCGGCTCACCCGGCCGCATTCCTCCCACAGGAACTCACCGGGGCGGCTCCTCCGTGCGGCGCTTGGACCCGGGCCAGGCGCTGCGCTGGGCATAAGCCCCTCAGAGAAACCCACAGCAGCGGGGAACTCAGCAAATGTCAAGCTAAGGAGTCTGAGCTTCTCCCAGACCGCTGTCTTCAGGGGGAAGCTCTTCCTTGTTTCTTTCCCTAGTGTCGCAGTTACAGCTGTTTCCTCCCAGGGCCAGCGACACGGGGTCTCACATCACATGGACATGGCGGGGGTTCAACACACAGCGTGGGCATGGTGGGGAAGCCTGCAGACACCTGCACATCCATAAAAAACACTCTCAAAAGCCTCAGTTTTGGGAGAGGAATGGCCAACCAGAATGATCCCACCCTGCCATGGACACATGGATATGACCCAGCTGATATCTTCTCTGCCAAGCACACTTTCCTCTATCCCAGGTTGTTCCAAGCCCTGTCTAACCTGGCTTTGAACAATTCCAGGGATGGGGCAGCCATTCTCTGTGCCAGAGCCTCAGCATCCCCACAGGGAAGAATTTGTTCCCAATATCCCATCTAAACCTACTGTCTTTCATGGAAGAGCTGGGGCAAAACGAGGGGCTTTATGGCCACATAACCCCAAGGAACACAGTGCCACAGAGGGGGTACCCCAAAGGGGACTCTGCTCCACACCGCTGATTGCTTTGGGGAATTTGAGAGAAGGAACGCTTTGCCTTTTCCCTCCGTCTCCCAGCACCTTTCCTTGCCGCAGACATCGGGACAGAGAGCAGGCAGGGGCGATGCTGGAGGAAAACAAGCGGCGAGCCAGCGCTGAGGAGAGCCCTGGGCTGCACAAAAGGTGCCTTGTTCCCCCCATAAGGCGGTCGGGCAGCACGTTCCCCCCTCGCCGGCGATGGAAAACTGAGCTCCAAGCACTCCTTCACCTCCCCTCGCCACCTTCAACCTTCCCATTGGGTACAAAATGTTCTTAGGATCAAGAAACCCGAAGTTTAACACGTCCCTCCTGGGTTCTTGGTCGCCTTGCCTGGGGAGTGGGCGAAGGCTGCAGCAGCCCCCGGCGCTCCCGGGGCCACCGGCTCCTGGTTATACAGTAACCTGTTGCTCCGGGTCCCAGCTCCACCTCTCGCTGCCTCCACATCCCTCCCCTCCTTTCTCCTCTGCCAAGGAACCTCTGTCACCTGCTCTCAGACACCCGCGGCGAGCGGCACCGGGAGGAAAGGGCAGCGGGGAGCCACGCAACGGGGACCCCCAGGCCGGGGTGCCGGGTGGGCTCTGCCTCCCACTCCCTTCCGCGCTCGGGGCATCGGGCTTACAGCCTGTACAGGGAGGACACGGAGCTTGACTGCTGGAGAATGGCAGCAGGATTTAACTAGGAAGGCACGGAAAACTGGGAGAGAACTCACGGGAGCTGAGCGAACTGCGGGAGACTAGAGCCGCTTCTCAGCACCGGTGAGTCTCTCTTTGCAAATCCTAAAACTTCATCCCCCTCCCCAGCTTTTATCCACTTCAAAAGTCTCTCTGATTTTGCTGTGGAGGGAGAATGGCTGGAGAGGGGTTGTGGCTGGGAGAACTATCAGTGTAGCTTTCTGTTGTTTTAGTTAAAAAAATATGAAAAAACGTACTTTTCCCAGCATTGTGTTTTCTGAGGTTTTTTCCCGTCCTGGTGATTCCCCGCCGGGTGAGATCCAGTAGGTGGCACTTTCTTGGCAGCAAAATGTTCATTTGGCACAGAACGAAGCATTTTTTCTGTTCCTAATGAAGTCTGGAGACGTAGTTTTGAGCAGCTGTTTGTTTGCAAACCTCGGGGTTTCCTCTTTTGGGGAAGTGTGTAGAATTTCAGGCCGTTCCCTGCCGGGCCCCTCAAAGAGCTGACGGTCTTGGTGGGCCAGCTCTCCCTACCCCTCATCCTGGCAGGATTTGTCGCCCAATTTCAGCACTGAGGGAAGCTCGGAGCTGCCCTGTTCCCTCGTCTGACAGCTCTGCCTCCTGATGAGATTTCATCTACGTACTAGTCACAGCATTCCCGTCCCCTTTCTCTTATTTTCCTGGAAAATGCCGGTGCAAACTCCACT